CCGTTCTCTGTCAGTTTTCTCACTCCATTTGGTGCTTGGCTGAGGTCTTTATCTCGTCATTTGATGTTTTAGGGTTTCAGGATTGTTGTTTTCTGTGTTCGGCTTAGTTTTTCGGATCTTTGCTCCATTTTGCTGGAAGTCCTGTTTGTTTGTTTTTAATAATATCGTGTTTTTGGTAAAGGTTTACACAGCAGTTTAGGTTCCCATTCAACAGTTTCTGCACAGATTTTTCAGTGACATTTATTGGTTACATTCTTCACAATGTGTGAGCATTCTCAGTATTTCCATTCTGATTGTTCCATTTGTAATTTGTTTTTAAAAACACTCTTAAACACATTTTCCACAGTAAAGGAAGACAGGATTCATGTAGCAAATAATTTGCAGAATTAGCTAATGAAGCTGCCCATGTGGTATTACCAAGCAGCCTTTATTTATTTTTAAAATGCATAATAACTTTTTTCTATTGTAGTGAAAATATACACAACAAAATATACACCATTTCAACAATTTCTTTTTTTTAAATAATATTTCGTTATGTTTTTGGTGATAGTTTACACAGCAAGTTAGGTTCCCTTTGAATTGATCCATGACATTAGTTACATTTTTCACATTGTGTCAACATTCTCTTTAATTGTGTTCTGGTTGTTCCATAGCAGTACTCTAGTTTTCCTGCCCCCTTATCTTTTCATCTTTTGTTTGGATTAAATGTTAACCTTCTGGACTCATACAGATGGTCAATTCATCAATTTCTACATGTATAATTCAGTGACATTGATTACATTCTTTAAGTTGTGCAATGATTGTCACTATCCTTTTCCCATAACTTTAAAAAAAATGTATTGTGCTTTAGGTGAAAATTTAGAGCTCAAATTAATTTCTCATTCAATAATTTATACACATATTGTTTTGTGACATTGGTTGCAATCCCCACAATGTGACAGCATGCTCCCCCTTTCCATCGCAGGCTCCCTATGTCCATTCATCCAGTTCCTGTCCCTTTCTGCCTTCTCATCTTGCTTTTGGACAAGAGTTGCCCATTTGGTCTTATATATTTGATTGAACTAAGAGGGACATTCTTCACATGTGTTATTATTTGTTTTATAGGCCTGTATAATCTTTGTCAGAAAGTTGGGCTTCAGGAATGGTTTAAGTTCTAGGTTAGCAGAATGTTGGGGACTATAGTCCTGGGAATTCCTCCACTTTGTCAGACCAGTAAGCCGGGTCTTTCCTCTTGAATTTGAATTCTCATCTATATTTTTCTTCCATTCTGTCTGGAACTCCTTGTTATGATCCCTGTCAGAGCAGTCATTCTGGTCTCAGGCTGGCGGAGTCTCTGGTTCATGTGGTCATTTAGACCTTTGGGCTAATATTTTCCTTGTGTCTTTGGTTTTTTTCATTCTCCTTTGCTCCAGACAGGATGGGACCAATAGATGTATCTTAGATGGTGGCTCACAAGCTCTTAGGACTGCAGATGCTACTCACCAAAGTGGGATGTAAAACATTTTCTTTATGAACTGTGTTATGCCAATTGACCTAGATGTCCCCCAAGACTATGGTCGCCAGCCCCAAGCCCCAGCTACTCAGTCCCTCAAAGTGTTTGGATGTGTCTAGGAAACTTCTGTGCTTTTGCTTTGGTCCAGTTGTGCTGACTTCCCCTATATTGTGTGTTGTCCTTCCCTTCACAAAAGTTGACAGATGTCTACTATCTAGTTAGTGATTTCCCTTTCCAGTCCCTCCTCACCCTCATAACCATCAAAGAATTTTTTTTCTTTTCTGTGTGTAAACCTTTTCTTGACTTCTTAATTAGTGGTCTCAGGTAATATTTGTCCTTTTGTGACTGACTTACTTCACTCAGCAAAAAGCTCTCCATATTCATCCATGCTGTGAGATGTTTCCCGAATTTATCATTGTTCATCGTTGCATAGTATTCCATTGTGTGTAGGTACCATAATTTGTTTATCCATTCATCTGTTGAAGGGCATTTAGGTTGTTTCCGTCCTTCTATATTGTGAATAGTGCTGTAGTGAACATGGGTGTGCATATGTCTATTCATGTGACAGCTATTCTTTTTCTAGGATACGTTCTTAGGCGTGGGGTTGCTGGATCATACGGTATTTCTATTTCTAGCATGTTATGGAAGCACCATATCATTTTCCAAAGAAGTTGTACCATTTTATATTTGCAGCAGCAGTACATAAGGCTTCCAATCTCCCTGCAAACTCTCCATCATTTGTTATTTTCTGTTTTTTTGGATTAGTGCCAGTATTGTCAGGGTAAGATGATATCTTATTGTACCTTTCATTTGCATTTCTTTAATGGCTAATGGGAGCCCTGGTGGCGCAGTCTTTAAGGGCTTTGGTTGCTAACCAAAAGGTCAGCAGTTCAAATCCACCAGCCACTCCTTGTAAACCCTATGGTCAGTTCTACTCTGTCCTCTAGGGTCACTGTGAGTTGGAATTGACTCGACAGCAATGAGTAATGGCTAATGATTGCGAGCATTTCCTCATGTGTCTAATAGCTGCTTGAATGTCTTTTTTGGTGAAGTATCTGTTCATATACTTTGCCCATTTTTTAACTGAATTATTTGTCTATTATTGAGGTTGAAGCATTTTGTAGTTTTAGAGATTAGCCCCTTGTCAGATATGTCATAGCCAAAAACTTTTTCCAAGTCTGTAGGTTCTCTGTACTCTTTTGGTGGAGTCTTTTGATGAGCATAAGTGTTTAATTTTTAGGACTTACCGGTTATGTAGTTTCTCTTCTGGTGTTTATGCATTGTTAGTTATGGTTTGTATACTATTTATGGCACATATTAGGGCCTCTAACCTTGTCCCTATTTTTCTTCCAGATGTTTATCGTTTTAAATTTTATATTTAGGTATTTGATCCATTTTGAGTTAGTTTTTGTGTATGGTTTGAAGTATGGAACTTGTTTCATTTTTTTAACAGATGGATATCCAGTTACGTGAGCACCATTTGTTCAACAGACCATCTTTCCCCCCATTTAATGAACTTTGGCCCTTTGTCAAATATTAACTGCTTATAGGTGTACAGATTTAGGTCTGGGTCCTCAATTCTATTCCACTGGCCTCTGTGTCTGTTGTTTTGCCAGTACCCGGCGGTTTTGACTACCATAGATTCTAAAATCAGCTAATACGAGACCTCCTGCTTTGTTCTTCTGCAGTAATGCTTTACATATCCAGGTCCTCTTCTCTTTGTATATGAAGTTGGTAATTTGTTTCTCTGTCTCGTTAGAAAATGCTGTTGGAGCAAAGGCAGTCCTCAGAGGACAATTTATAGCAATAGATGCACATATCAAAAAAGAAGAAAGGGACAAAATCAAAACATTAACTACAGAACTC